AAAGCTTGAAGCCTGGCAGGGATCCATTTTCCATGTGTCTGTCCCTCTCCAACCAAACCACAGGCCCCTCAAGGCAGGGACTGGCTTATCTTACTCTGTTCCCCCCAGGCACGAGCAGGGAACCTTGCATGCCAGAGGCACTCAATGTTTGCAAGACTGAACTGCATGAAGCGCTCTGAGAGTGCTGAAGGCCGAAGCTAGGGCCCTCAGTGCCTTTGTCCTGCCTGGCATGGGTGACAGGCGCTGGAGGTGGGCACCAGGCAGCAGCCACCAAATCTTCCTGCTGCAGACAGGAAGTGCCAGCACCACGTCCCTGGAGGAAGGGATCTCCAAGGTCCAGTGGGGCCACAGTCTGGGCCGGGGGGCCAGAGTCTGGGCCAGAGGTCCAGGCAGGAGAAGCCTCCTCATCCGAGAGGCAGGAATAAGAGGCTCCAAGTCTCCTAGGACCCACTCAGCTCCTGCCCAGCACCCCCCAAGGACAGGACAGGGGCTCAAGCAGGACCCCCAGCTCTTCCCTGGTGCTGGCTTCCTGTCTGGCCCCCTGTCTGCCAGGGAAGTGAGTAATGTCCGCTCCCTGCCCCCAGCATCCCTTCTGGAGGCCAGGCCTCATACTTTCCGTTCAGGAAGGGGCAGAGGAAGAGGCCTGGGGAAGCACATCGAGGGGAAATGGAAGGAGTGGGCCCTCGCCCACCCCACCTGCCACCCCTTCTGCAGTCAGGGCCCTGGCCCGGCCACGGATCTAAGGTTCAGGAGGCCCACCGCTCACCGACTTATGAGTGCACACAGTCACTTCATTCATTCAACACTTCCCTAGTGCCTGCTCGGGGCCGGGCCCTGTGCTGGGTCCTGTGCTGGCTCCTGGCTCACAGGGAGCTTATGGTAATCTGGGGGAAGAAGTGGGCATTAAACAGATGATCCCATGGATGAGGGTGCAATTACAAACTGACTTGCTGTCAAGTCAAGTGCAGACCACGCTGTTTCCGGAGAAAGTCTCAACCATTGGCTTCTCCCAGGCATCCTCTCTCCACCCCGAAAAGACAGCCCCTGGGCCAGAGAGTGTTCTTCCAGACACCAACAATGTGTACAGAGCTCTGTTTGGACCCAAAAAGGAGCCTAAAGCCTCAGTCTGGGCTCAGCTGGGGTCCAGAGGGGACCCGGCCCGTGCAGGGGCAGAAAGAGCAGGCAGGAGCTGCTTGCACCACTCCGGCCCCAAAAAGCCAGGGCTCTCAGAAGTGGCTCTGGAAAGAGCCTCCTCTGGTTCCCAGGATCCCCACCCATCTCCTGGGGAACCTCAGACATGGCCTGATGCCTGCCAAAGAGGAGAGAGGAGCTCAGCCTCGGCCCCGCCGCTGCCTCTGGCCAGATCACCCAGATTCCTTCCCTGATCCCCAGCTTCCCCCGTGAGACAGGCTGAGAGCAATGTCCTCTCACATGTGGCAGCTACAACCCAAATAAGAGACCGGCCACCATGGCGCCGTGCAGTGTGTGCTGCTGACTTACGGTTCAGGAACCAGGCTAGAGCACTGGACGTGGTAAACTGCCATCACAGGGAGACCTGTGAAATGACTCACGGGCAGTTGCAGGATTGGGGGCAAAATCATGGTTGTGTTTCAGGGCAAACAGATATCCATTTGTGCTAACAACTCAGGGATGAGCCCCGTCCCCGGGGTGGGGGGAAGCTGGGTTGCTGGTAATTCACTTGGGCTCAGCTGTTTCAGCTGTGGGACCTGCTCTGCCAAGGCCTCATCTGCTTTTGTTAAAATTTAAAAAAAAATAAGGAGAGAAGCCCCAACAAATCCACCAACAGATGGGAATCTGTGCAAACTGCCTGGCGTCTTCAAACGCACCTGGGCTGTATCACTGGTCAGCAGAGGTGGGACACTCCATCAGCACTGCCTCAGGTCCCCATATTTTCTGGCTAAGAGAAGAGACCCAGGTGCTCAGATTGAGGCAGGGTCCTCAGGAACAAATAGCCCACTCTGTCCCCAATATGGAGTGGACTGTAGCCCCCCTTCTCAATGGTGTGCTTGGAGTGGATCTCAATAAATGTTCACTCATTCATTTAGGCACAGGTTCCTGGGTGGTGCCAACAGTTTGTGCTCGACTACTAACCAAAAGGTTGGCGGTTTGAATCCACCCAGCGGCTCCATGTAAGAAAAGCCTGGCAGTTTACTTCCGTAACATCACAGCCATTGAAAACACTATGGAGTGCAGTTCTACTCTAAAACATGTGGGGCTGCCATGAGTTAGAATCGACTTGACGACAATGGGTTTGGTTCGGTTCATTCATTCAGGCAACACTACTCAGCAGGCACCTATACTGAGCCAGGCACCCAGCTAGAGTCTCTGCAGACAGGTAGGAGACCAAGACTGACATGGCCCAGGCCTCACCAGGCTCACAGACTAGTGGGGGCCGAGACATCCAATTCCAACTCCCCGCTTCTGTGGAGGCCCGAGGCCCAGAGGCTGACAAGGCCAACCTGGGAGTGGGGACAGGGAAGGCTGCTGCAATGAAGGCACCTGAGCAGGGAGCTGAGACCATGGAGGGCTGCGGCAGGGTGTGGAGGAGTGCAGGGCTTTCATCAGTGACTGGGGATGTGACAGTACCCTGAAGCTCCTGAGCCTCTCCCATCAGCTGACTCATGGGAGCAGGGTCTCAGCTCATGTCTGCACCGTAAGCACCTTCAGAGTAGGGGAGCTGGCTGCATTGCTGTGGGGGTGCCATGACTCCAGGCCAGGTCTGTGCCCAGCCGAAACCCTCTGGGTAGACACAGCAGTTGTCAACAGGCCAGAGGTACCAGAGGAACACCAGAGACCAGGGCAGCTGCCTGAGCCTTCTCAAGGCCTGCGATCCCCCGTGCTGGGTCTGGGTCAGCCTCTGGCCAGCACATCAGCCCACAGCCTCCAGTTGCGGCCTCTGATTAAATAATTAAATTGATGGCATCATGGCCAACACCATCCTCCCTGTCTCCATCTCTGGCTGCCCGCCCTGCCCAGATAAATACCCTGTCCTGTCAGCAGGCCAGCCCGCCTCAGCTCCAGCAGCCATGGCCAGGCCGGCTCCCCCACCTCCACCCCCAGGGCTCCTGACGGGCCGACCCCACCAGCCTCTTCACTCCAGTCTCGTCTTTGTGATCAGCCAACCTCCAGGAAGCTGGGCAACGGATGCTAAGGAAGCTTGTGACCCCCAAGGAAACACTGCCTTCTGCTGCTTGATCCTGAAGGTCCTCCAAATCTCCAAGGGCCCCCAAGAAGTATCTCTGACAGATAGCTGACCCCTAAAGAGTAGTTATCAGGAATAATAATACCACAAGACTTTTTGGGATTAAAAACCCTGAAAATGGTTCCCCAAAGGAGCCCTAGTGGCACAGTGGTTAAAGTGCTCAGCTGCTAACCATAAGGTTGGCAGTTCGAACCCACCAGCTGCTCTGCAGGAGGAAGATGTAGCAGTCTGCTTCCATAAAGATTTACAACCTTGGAAATCCTATGAGGCAGTTCTACTCTGTCCTATAGGGTCACTGTGAGTCAGAATCAACTTGATGGCAAGGGGTTCAGTCCTACCACTCTAGCTTTTGTTTAGTTTTCTGTATCCTTCTTGGAAAGGTATAACTGGTAGCCCTGGCTGAGCTTTGCTGGCACGGCCCTTGGTGTGGCCTTTGGGTGTGGCCCTCAATCAGCTCAAATGAGGCGGGAGGTCAGCTGCTGGGCACTTCCCAGCCCCAGATCCTCCAGCAGCATGTGGCCATCCCAGCCAGATCCCCACCCCGTGGGAATGCTGGGAGAGGTACTGGTCCTGGAGGCTCACAGCACGAGGGGGTCGCGCTGACCTCACGAGGCATCAAGGCACAAAAGCCTTTTCTTCCCAGCAGCCGAGCACCCCACTCCTCCTAGAACCACTCCCTCGGCTCCCCAGCCCCAGCCGGCCACCTCCAGCTGCCTCTGGGCTGGGTCTCCTCCCAGACAAAGCCGGATTCAGGCCTGAGAGGGCAGTCGGGAGGCAGGCGCGCGGCTTCTGCCATGGAGACGAACTTTGACCCAAACAGCGAGGCTCCTACCCCTTATTTACTCTAACCCGTTTCACAGAGTTAACTTTACACCCCTTTTAAACCTTGCACCTCCCTCCCGCATTCCAGGCCCCAATCTTTGACCTCTCCCAATTGCCAGCTCTACACCCCAGTTCTCCCAGGCTGGCTCCAGCTCATCCCCAACCCCCAATCATCTCCTCCCCAGGACTCTGCGCCCTGTCAGGGGCACTGTGATCACAGGTGCCACTCCATGCCCACAACCACGTCAAACTGAGGTGGACACTGGAGCCCAAGAGCTGAGCCCCGGGCCCTCCACCAGGGAGCCCTGCAGCTGCTCTGGGAGCCTCAGACTGACTTCTGACCCCAGCAGCTCTCCCACCCCTAAGAAGGAAGCTCTGTCCCGAGCCGGAGGAGGCTGCCTGGCTGGCTCTGTACCCCTACCCTACATTCCAGGGTCCTGGAGGGCCGCGGTGGGTGAGGGCTAGGGCAGAATCCTCAGCTGGGCCACATCTCCTCCCGAGGGGGTGGAAGCACACGTGTGGGCAACTGTATCTGCCGGTCACTCGCTGGGGGACAGGCAGGACCCCCACCCTATGGTCTCTCATCCGAGTTTCAGAAACACAGCTCTTGTTCTCATTGCTGGGCAGCCGGACTGTTCTGGGTCAGGCCCATTCTTAACCTCCCCAGACCTGAATCGTGGTAACTTAGAAATCCATATCCCACGAGCAACAGGGCAAACAAACAGGCATGGTGACCCTGTCAGGCTGCCTGTCCCAATGAGCTCCATCCATCATCTTGGGATGGAACCGGGGTGGGGCAGTGGGGCCCGCCCAGACTCTGAGCACCCCTGAGGGGCGGCTGTCAGCCCCAAGCCTAGATCACCTACCAGAGGCTCACCCCTAGCCTCTCTTCTCAGGAATCCCAGGCCTGGAGGCTGGGCGCAGCCACTCCCCAGCGTTCCCAAGGGGCACTCACCATCCTCTTGGCTGTGGAGGTTCTGCGGGCTCCGCATCCTCGCGTCCTGGCTAGGACTCAGGCTGGAGGCCAGGTGTGGGTCAGCTGACATCCATGTGGAGTCGTTCATGTCAAAATCTTCACTGCTCACTGAAGTCTCATCCTGAGCAGGGACAAAGAAGGCAGGTGTTCAACAGGGACGGGTGCTCACCAGGCCCCAGGCTGCCTTTTGGGTGAACCCCAGGGCCCGTGGGCATTCGGATGCACCTCAGAGGTCCAAAACCTGCAGTGAGGCCTGGGTGGTGCTTCCCCTGCCCCCCATGGAAGCGGCTTGGGTCTGGTTCCTGTCAGAAGCCAGGGCTGCGGGCCGGCACTGTCTGTAATTGAAGACAATTACTGAGGTCTCGCATCCTGTGGGGCGGATAGCAGGGCCTGGCTCTTACCCTGGTGAGCCAAGGTTGAAACGAGCGCTGTAAACAAGGGCCACTCTCCCTGCCCACAGCCAGGGAAGAGGACTCCCTCCACGCGGGTCGGCCGGCCCGAAGTGGGTAACAGGATATGCTGGGCACCGGCAAGGCCATGCTGACTGCCCCCACTGGGCCTGGCGCCCCAACTCCCGTGGGGCATGCATGGAATTCCTTTCTCCCACTCCCCCAGCCGAGAGGACATTTCTGTCTTCCTCCTTCCTAACCTTTGCTGTGCTTCAAAGATAGGCTCTTGGGCGGCTTCCAGAGCTGGAAATGCCGGCCCCAGAAGTGTAGAGAAGGAAGGGGGTGGGGCGGGCATGGGTTCGGATCAGACCGCAAAGGAGGTTCGGCTGAAGGGCCTGGGGGGCCGCCAGGGCCTTTCAAACAGCCGGACAGCCTGCTGGAGAGGACCACGCCTGCCTCCCTTGCCAGTCATCCGGGAACCCCCGGGGTGGGGCCCCTTCTATCCAGCCCTCCAGCGGGAAGGGACCCCACCTCCTCCTGGCCTGGCCTCTTTCAGGAGCAGCAAGCAACTGTGTTTGGGAGCTGGCTATAAAACGCCAGAAAGATGACCCTGCAGCTCGCACACCCCAGAGCCCTGGCCTTGCCCCTCCCCTCTCCCCTCAGCAAGATACAATCGCCTTGGTGGGGCCCCAGTCAGGCTGTGGCAGAGCCCCCCTCCCAACCTCCCCTCCGAGGCTCCCTGTTTTATAGTGAGCAAACACACTTTGGTTTGAACTTTCTTCTGTTGCTGTCCCTGAGGCAGACACATCTGCTCTCCAAGTGCTACGGAGGAACCAGCCGAGATGAGCCTGCCTTCCTCCCTCCCCCACCGCGGGGCTGGTAGGGAGTTTCCTGGAATTTACAGCTTCTGTGCAAGTGCCAGAGTGTACCCTCAGAATCCTGAGGGCAGTGAGGGCAGGAGTCCCCAAGGGGTCCCCAAGCAGCCCCACAGTACCTCAGGGACGAGCCCCCATGTCCTCTCCCTGTCTCCCTCTCACAGGCCACCCTGCTTCCTTTGGTGAAAACACTATCACACACATTCACTCAGATTGTGTTCTCACACCCTGAGGGACACGCTCAAGTCCAAAAGGCTCTCAGTGCACAAAGGGTACAAAGGGACAACAAACCTCCTGTGCGAACTCCACAGAACCGGAGAGAGAAGGGAGGAGGCTGGCAGGTGGCGGGGGTAGGGGGAGGTTCCTCGGAGGAGCTGGGCAAGGCCACACAGACAAGCGACTCTCCTGCCAGCTAATCCTGCCCATCTAGGCTCTGTTCTTGCCTGGGCCTCTGGGTCCTCCGTGGCGGCTCAGGGGACACTGTGCTCAGGCATGACCTGAAATCATGGCTGAAGTTAGAGGCCTCTCCTGGCTTTGGGTATTGATGAAACACTCATGATTAAACAGACCTGGTATTATCTTAACCTTTGGAGGTACTGTCTACTCCAAACACACCGTCCATTCATTCAACAAGTATTTATTAAACACCTACTACGTGCCAGCATGCTTCTAGGTGCTGTGAAATTCAGCTGTAAGCACGACAAACTCCTGGCCCTAGTGGCTCTCACTGTGCAGTGGGGGAGATGGGCCATCAGCAGAAAAATGTCATGCCCGGTGGTGATGAGAGCCACAAAACAAAAGGAAGAGTGGCCTGGCCCGCAGGGCTGCATGTACCAGGTGGTCGCGGATGGCCTGGCTAGTCCAGGGACATTGGAGCAGAGGTGGCAGGAAGTGAGGAAGGGACTGCGTGGTGTCTTTATGGGAGTGTTCCAGCCTTTTCCATGGGCTCAGGGGGCAGCAAGGAGACCACTGTGGCTGGAGATAGGTAAGCCAGGGACCGCGAAGGGAGCAGTCTGAGCTGCACAGGTCTACCTTTCCCAAGGTGCACGCACTAGGCAGGGCTGTCCCTGCCACCTCTGGCTCACAGAAAGGCCGTGGAGTCTTCCCAGGCTCACTGAGGAGCAGGAAAAAGTCAGAACCGCTGGGTGTGGCACTGAAGGCTCCCATACTCTGGCCTCCCTCAGCCAGGTTTAAAACAGTAACAGCAGAGGCCAAAGTTTACAAGGTGCCAAGCACCGCACTTGGATCATCTCCTTTCACCCTCCCCACAGGCCAGGAGGTAGATACAATTAACAGCCCATTCTACAGGTGAGGAAACTGAGTTTCCAAGAAGTTAAGGCACTTGCCCAAGGTAACAAACTAACAAATGGCAAAGCCAGATCTGAGCAACCCTGAAGGCCCAAACCCACCCTCGCACTGCCCCTTCACCTGGAATGTCCATGCTGCTGGCACACGCCACAACCCAAATTCCAAACACAAATCCCTTTCTCCGTCTATCTAGCTCATTCTATTTCCTCTTCTTAAACAATCTGTCTGCCTGGACCATGACCACTGGCAGTTTCTCACTTAGCTGTAGCACGTCAACAATGCACTGTGGGTCTATGCCCTGTCTTTCTCCAGAAAACCTTATTAGGTCCTTCCAAGAGTGGGGGCCAGGCGGGGTGTTCTCTGAATCCCCCACAAGGCCAGCGAGACTTGTTGAATCGACAGAGTTGCCTGGCATGCTGTTGGTGTTTAATGAGGATGCTGCATTAATTTGCCAATTAAGGACTCTGGTCCCATGGCGCACAGTTCTTGAATGGAGGCCATGTGAAAACCTGGACCCTGGCTGCCGGTGGGCAGGCGGGTGGGCGGCAGCATGCTGCTTCACAATGCTTCCCTCCTGCAGCTGTGAGCCACCCTGCAGGATCACTGTACTGTTCCCCAAAATGACCCCCTTGCACCCCATACCTCACAAGTTCTATTTCACACTGACATCACGATACCTGGTAATGAAGAGTATCTAGTGCCCAAATGCACGGGGCTTCAGGGTAAGGGTTTATGAGATTCCTTGCAACGGCCTCATAAAGCACGCACCCACGTCAGGCCTGGTACCTGCCCTGCATCAGCCACCCATGGCCACACAGGCAGTGGTGGAGCTGGGATCTGAACCTAGGCAGTCTGCGCCCAGAACTTTCACCACAGGCCACCTCACCACACTTTCTACCTTCAACTGAAAGAGCCGGGTTCCTTAATGGCAAAGCATCTCAGAATAGACCCAAAGGGAGATCATGGGTGATAGAGCTGTATTTACACACACACACACACGTGCACATGCACACTCGGGCTCACACTCTGCAATGATCTGACACATTTATTGAGCATCTACCATGTGCTAGGGTTGTGCTAGGGACAGATGACGAAGGCAGGGTCCTTCCCTCCAGGACCTCATCATCTAGGGAAGAGACTGGCTAAACATTCTGATCCACTTGTAACAGCCGAGAGAGGGGCTGTGGGGCCCCCACCCCAGTTATCTAGTGACTATGGCCCCTCCCCAGTGAGTTTCCCCCATTCCAGCTTCTGCCACATGAACCCCAGCTTTGTGAGAAAGGTGGTTCTATTTAAAATTGTTCAGACCTTGACTGCTAAAGCAATTTGTTTAAAAGTGAGAAATCAAGTCTATTAAACCTAACTTAAACAAACAAACTAGTAAGTTTTGATTGAACTTACACAGACACTTTCAACACCACACCTTCAGGGCTGTCCTGGGAAAAAGCCTTCCCAAGACCCCTTTGCACAGCCCACCTGCCATAGGGGAGCCCCCAACTCTTCAGGAGAGCAAAGCTCCCCAGCTGCAGAGGGGCAGACTGTAACCTCAGTCACACCCCACACACCCTGAGCCAAGTGCTGCAGAAGTGGGCTAATAACACAGGCAATTATCAGCATACAGTTCAGACCCATCAGTGACTGCAGAGAGGGAAATACACCCCAGTCCTGAGGGACCTGTGAGAGGCTGCTGTGCAGGCTGGAGAGGGAGCGGCTGGGCCTCAAGCCTGTGTGTAGACCCAAGGCGCTCCCCTGCTCACTGGAGGCCACAGGTTGACAGGTTGGGCACATCTCGCTTTTCCCTTCCAGAATCTCAAGGAAATCTGGCCCACTAATCTCTCCCTTTCTGTAAACAAACTCGAATAAAACTTCCATTAGAAAATAGAAGTGTGTGTGCAACCCATTGCTTCGTGGTCCCCGCCCCCCAGATGTCATGTGACTGGACAGCCACCTGCTTCAGGCCCCTCTCACCTCTGCCCTCAGACACTCTGAAGCCTATGCTGGCCACCTGGTGATAAAAGTCCATCATCCGTTCGACACTAAAGGGCCTGAGCAGTCCTGGGTCACAGAGCAATAGGGCCGAGTACCCTTCTGGAAAGGGAATGCAGTGTTGGGCGGGCAGGTGGGCAGCACAGTCAGCCCTGGGACACATCCCGACCTGGGAGCCCTGACTCTGGGCAGGGAGGGAGAGGAGCCACCAACCGCTCCCTGCCCTTATCTTCAGTCCAAAATTCAGGGGCAGGTTCAGTTTCTCTCCACACAGGTTCTGAGGCCCTTCCTTCTCTGCAGGCAAACCAGCACCAAGTACTGCCCGGCCCGGGAGGAGGAGAAAACGGGAGACCAGAGGGGAAATGGTGGAAACATGCCTGTATGCCTGTATCCATGGCTTGTAACTATGGGCAGGTGCTATCAGTAACCTGATTATTTTACAACTGGGGTCAGTTTCTCTGGAACTGGGTTCCTGGTGCCTCTGAAGTCGAGCCATTTGCATCCTCCAGGACGCAGGATCCCGGGGCGTGCCTCACACAGTATTTTCCAGGCCTTTCCTGAGATCTGTAACTCTATCTCTACCACTTGCCTTGAGAAAGACGAGGAGGAGGATTTGCTGAGAATTTAGTGCAATCGTAAGCCATAAGCTCTGACCAGGAGCCCTGGGTGTGTGTTTCAGAGGAGGGTGGGGGCAGGGATGCACAGGAGGTGTTTCTGGGCCTGGCAGGAAACAGACCCCTCTCTGGACAGCCCCCATCCCCCGGGTCTGTTTCACGGGACGGTCCTTCTGGAAAGAAACCCAGCATCAGCTCTTTCCCGAGCAGACAGGCACCAAGACGAAGAAAGTGGAGCAGCTTCTCATCCCGCTTGGCCAGCACCTCCTTCTGGTGCACCTGCTGGTCCCTTCTAGGCCCTGGAAATTCTTCAGTACCAGGTGATTCTTCCCCTGGTCTCCATGTCAATGAGCATGATACACACGGCCTTCTGAGCATGCCAAGAAGGTACTGCACCGCATTTGACCCCTACTTAACCACCTCAGTTCATCAGATGGCTTATTAAGGTAAGATCAAAAGCCCCCAGGATCTAGAGCAACAAGGGTGGAAACCCCTACTGGGAAGGGGTTGCACAAATGAAATCTTAGGGTGGTCTGAGACACAGCTCCTAGGGACTAAGGAGTCCCAAAGCTGCTGCTTCATGCTACACCCCAGCCACCTGGTCGCCAGGAGAAGAGGCCAGCCTTCAAGGAAGACACTCCCTACACAGTTCCACTCCTTCCTGCTAACAGACCTCTTCTGCTTACTAGTCATACACACACAAGCTCTTCTGGGAAATATGGAGCAGGGAGGGCTGAGACACAGCCAATCATCTATCACACTTTAGGTATTCTCTCTCTCTCTCTCACACACACACATGCACGCACGCATGCACATACTCTTACACACAGAGTGTCAGAAACACAGTCACACATATATGTGGATGCTCTGTTGTCCCGGTGGTAATGGACGTCTTGATGCTGGGAGTGAGCATTTTCAACACCTTCCCACTGGAGTACTGAGTGTAAAACGGGCTTTTGTTTCCTACGCAAAGGCAACTGGCCGTTTTCCCAGCACTCCTCAGCATGAGGGCCTCATTCATACCCCAGCCCCTGCCGTTAACGGAGGGTCTCTTTAAAAGGGAGGCTGGGGAGATGAGCCTCAGCAGATAGGGTTCTTCCAGCCAAAGGAGGGGCTGGAGGGGAACCATTCTGAGCTAATCCCCTGCAAGACTTTCCTTCCAAGAAAAGGACCCAGACAAGACAAAAAAGTTCTTGAGCAACTCTGGGGCATTCCAGCTCCACTTGGCTCCAGGGCAGCTGAGGCCACAGAAGATCCCTGATGTCAGCCTCTGCAGCTGGGAGGAAGGCCCTTGGGTGCTCAGCTCCCGCTGTTCAGCAGGAGGGTGCTGAATGGAGTTCGGGGCACCCAGCCACAGGGCAGTGGGTGTGGGAGGGGGTGCTGTCTTAAAACTGTTCTCAAACAAGCCCAGCCTGAGCTGGGATTAGACAGGAGCTTGATATTGTTCAAGGACACATTTAGGCCCTAATGGCTTTCCAATGAGGGGGTAATTTACTACCTGGAGACTAAACGACCACGACCATGGGGGCCTGGGCCATAAATGGGCCATTCCCCTGACCAACCCACAATTCTGAGCTGGTGCTTTCAGGGGTCAGGTCAGGGGCCCTATCACATCCCACAGACGGCTCTTCCCAGAGTCCTCACCCATCCAGAGCCGTGGCAATTGAGTGAGGACCCCAACACCTACCTCTCCCCATACCCTACCTGATAGGCCAGGAGCCTAGGCTGGGGTTTCCAGCTGATTCTGGGATAAGTAGGGCTTTACCTCAAGGGAGAAGCTATTTCAAGCCACAATCCTTCTCAGAAAGAGGAGGAAATCACAGAGTCCAAACACCATTTCAGGTGAAATCAGGAGGTGATTAATCTCGCCTCAGAGCAGACAGAACGAAAAATCGATGTTTTGGAGGGGGAAGAAAAGGGTTCCGTTTGCATTAATGCGTTTGTGGCTTCTCCATTGATTTGCGCCTCTTCACACTTTCTTTTTGTGCTTTGGTGCTCTTGGGGAGGAGGGCGGGAGCGGGGAAAGGGGAGGAGCGGGTGGGCCTCCCGATAAGGAAAAGGACGGTCTAACCTTAACCTTTCTCCAGGAATAACGCTAATTAGCGAGGCTTAAAGAGAACTTCCCCTAGGAAGCGCAGCCCGGTAGGGGCGACTGGACTCGGGCAAACGCAGCTGCGGGTGGGGACAGGGAGAGGGGTCGCTTCTGAACCCGAGCAACTGGAATAAAAATGCATATTGCACCCCCCCACCCCTCTCCAAGTGTCGGGCCGTAGAGGACATGGGGGATGGCGGAGAATATTGGGCGGAGGTGTAAATCCAACTTAACCCCGACGCGCGCCCTCACTCCGGCGAGCTTCCCCCCTCCTCCTCCCTCCTCGTGTGTCCCCTTCATTAAGGAATGCCCCTTCGCTAGGGGGCCGCCGACGTCCGCGGCTTCCGCGAGACCTTACACCTGAGCGGGGCACCCGGTCCCTTCAGGGAGGGACAGGGGCCTGCCGAAGTGGGTTCAACTCTGCAAAACCGCGTCTCAACTCCCCGCGCCGCGGCAGCGAGCCCCTCCCTGCCGCTCAACGCTTCCCGTCCTCACATCCCCAAACACAGTCCACTTCCCTTCTCCTGGCGGCGGCGGTAACCCGGGGACCGGCCCCCACCCCTCCGCCTGCGAACGCCTTCCTCCTCGGGACGCGGAGCGGAGCCCGCTGCAAACGGTGTGGCCACCGCACAATACCGCGGCGCGGCGCACACAATCACCGCCCCCCACGACCGGCGGCGCGCACGGCCCGGGAGTGGGGTGCGCCTGGCAGCCCCCGGCACTCAGAACTGGGAACACCTCTCGGGCACCCCGCGTCCCCCGGCGTGCAGCCTCCCCACCCTACTCACTCACACTCGGTCACACTCACCCGCCCCCCGCCCGGCGCCCCAGCCCACTCCGAGGGCGCAGCCGCTCCCCCGCGTCCCCCTCCTCGGCCCGGGCGCAGGAAGCTCTCCCCATGTCCCCCGCCCCCCTAACCGCAGCTCAACGGCCGGCGGCGGCCGCGGGAGGAGGGGGCGGTGGCTGGGGGCCCGGAAACGGCCCGATCGCGGGGATCCGGGCTGGACTCCGTACCTGGGCGGGAGGCGAGGCGGAGACCGGCGGTCGGACTCGGCGAGTGAGCGGGGCGGGCGGCAGTGACAGCCCTACAGCTCCAGCTGCTGCTGCTGCTGCTGCCGCCGCGGCCGCCCGGGGAGAGGGGCTGGCACCGCCGCGGCGCGTCA